TTCGTCGAATGGGTCGAAAACGACATTGCCGTTGCTCCCGATTTTCATAAGCGAATTTTGTTTAGCGATGAAGCGCACTTCTGGTTGAATGGCTTCGTCAACAAACAAAACTTCCGCATTTGGAGTGAAGCTAAACCACAAGTGTATGTCGAAATACCGTTACATCCAGAAAAACTGACTGTTTGGTGCACTTTATGGGCTGGTGGAATCATTGGTCCGTACTCCTTCCAAAACGATGAAGGCCACAACGTTACAGACAATGGTTATCGGTATAGAGCCATGATTACTAACTTTTTTATTCCTGAATTGAACAATCATGATGTCCAGGAGCTGTGGTTCCAACAAGACGGCGCAACATGTCACACAGCTCGTGCCACAATCGATTTATTGAAAGACACGTTTGGTGACCGCCTAATTTCACGTTTTGGACCTGTGAATTGGCCTCCAAGATCTTGTGGTTTAACACCGCTAGACTATTTTCTGTGGGGCTATGTAAAGTCATTGGTCTATGGGATAAGCCACAAACACTTGACCATTTGGAAGACAAACGTTCGCCGTGTTATTGCCGATATACGGCCACAAATGTTTGAAAAAGTCATCGAAAATTGACGTCCAGATTGACTACATCCGAGCCAGCCGTGGCAGTCCTATGCCAGAAATCATATTTAAATGTAACGCCACAAGATTATCTTTCGAATAAAAAGATGTCAATCGAAAAATACATTGTTGTTTTATTGCAATTTAAAGTTCTATACCTCTAAAAAAACACCCTTTATATTTAAGGTTTCTCTACAGAGACTGAACTAAAAGTCTTCAAAAATTCATATAACTTTTATAATTACAATCAATTAAAATATTGATCGGAGTTTTTTGTTAAAATTTCTCTTTCTGGTATATTATAATACGAACAAATTCACTTCTAAATTATACATTTCAAAAATCCCAATTCAGGTTCTGTACCAAATTCTTTTATATATAAAATATTCTTATTACAGAAACATTTTTCATGAAAGCAGAACGTTTTAACAATAAGTGATTCTTTCTTTATTATTTGCTAAAAACTGCATTTTTGCAACTTTTTATTATATCTAAGGGGAAGGGGTACGCCCCGTCAACCTAACGGACAAAGAGGATTCGGTGGGAAGGCAGGAGGGTCTCGTTTTCCTTTGTCATGATGTACATGATCGAGTAAGAGTTGAGTTGTAAGCGATCAGTATCCACAAACCATTATTGCTTATTTGTGTGTATAGCACCACAAATCACTTGAATTAATGGAAATCTTGTTTGTTTTTCTATTCTTACAATTCGTTCACACTCTCCCTATGTATATTTATTTATACATATCTTGTTCAAATTTTTAATCTTTAATAAAATACTTTTTATTCATTCACTCAAGTTAAAATAAATTTTTTTAAACTTGTAGTGAATGACACTTATAATGTTAACACAGTTTTTACAAATATTAATTCGTTAATTCAATTTAATTAATGAATAAATAGTAACACACAAAAATAATAGTTCAACACCATATATAGAAAGAAAATTTACTCGTTGCGTCCCTGTAGCGCAAGGAATGGTTCGTAGGACTTCTAATCCGAAGGCCGAGGGTTCGAATCCCACCTGAGATGGCTTAATTTCTTTAGATATGATTTCTTTTTACTGTACTATTTTATTGGAATAACTAAATGTAATTAATGAATAAATGAAACAATCACACATTTTGTCCAACACCATCGTTAGAAAAAAAATGGAAAAATTACTTTCTATTTTGCTACTTAATATTGTGATTGTCATATGTATATACATATTTATATTAACTGTAATTATTTAATAAAAAGAAAAAAAAATAAAAATCTTCCTTGTTGACCTAAGTAGGAATTGACTTAAAATTTTTTTTTATATATATTATACTTGTTTAAATTTCAAAATGCATCAGCAGCTGTGCGTTACAACTTGAATATGAAATAGCTTTAAGAATTTTAAGCAGCCGATTTATCGTAACAAAATCGTCTGCCCTTGGATTTTCTATGGTCTCTTAACTTTTCACTTTGATCTTATTGGATAAGATCTTCTCCCCTCTAACAAATCAAGGCCATTACATCACCGAGTCCATTCCCCCTTGCCCAGACAAGAACGATAAAACTAATTTCTTATGGTCCGTGTTCCCCTGTCCGTCGACAATACCGATAAGCAGAGAGAGACACCTCAGGAAATGCTTCGCTTTCCCACCCTCAGCAATCGAGAATATTTCTCTGAAACAGAACATCGATAAAACGGATCTCTGGACAAACGGGGGCAGGAGGGACATAAACGGGAAAAGATATCCTCCGGAAATCGAAACAGCATCTCGTGACGCGTCCGATGGACTCTTGCTGTTGCTGGACTCATCATCAAGTGGGAGCAAATTCCATCCCCTTAATCTGGGACTCCCGGAGAGCGAGAGATGGACATCGGTGCCGCATGGTGGTAAGGGTGCAGCCGGAAATGAGGCAACTCCCCCGAGTGAACGGATGGATCATTAGTGTGGAGGATCCGGTGGGGAGGGAGGGTGGCCCCGTTTTCATTCGTCATACAAAAAGTCGTTTGGTAAGAGACAGGGGGGCTCTTTGATGTTTACATCAGCGTCAATGGAAACTTGACAAGGACCAAAGGAAGGGGCGTTTGCTTTGGATCGTAACTCTTCCTGATAGATTTCGTGTAGACTTTGAGTGTAACGCCATGACGAATGCTTTTCCGATTGTATTTATTTTTCATCCAGTGTAATATCAAACATTTTAAAATACAACGCTTTGAGGAGAACTGACCTGATTACGTATGGATTGTTTTATTGCGATAAAAAGTTTTGTTTTTTTAAAATAAAAAATTCTCTTTGTTTGCTTTTAGGCGATTGAAAGGAAATGTATATATAAAAAAAAGAAAGAACTGTTTGCTTGATTATTGAGGATTAATTTGTTTGTAGAGGAATACTGCTGAAATTAAGTACTACAACGTTGACTAAAAGTGCTGCTGAAATCACAAAGGAATTTTTAAAACAATGGGCTCAATTCATGTGAGTCCTAGTCACACGATAAAATCAATCATGTGTAACCAGCTAATCAGTTAATGCACTTCATTGTTGCCAACTTTTGATATTTTCAGTAACTTTTACTTAAAATATATAAATTTGTTAAAAACAATAATACACATATAAGTAAACAAAATGCATTTTATTTTAAAGTATATGCATAAAAGAATATTTTTTAAAATTTTTTGAAGAAGTTTATTTTTTACAGAGAGTATTTGAATTTTTTTACCCAATTATCAAATTTGAAATTTTACCCAAGTCTTACAAATAGAACAACTAGTACAATTAATTTGATGTCTGTTTTTAATTCAATGGAGAACCGGTGTTTGTGTCTTGATCATGTGACCGTAATCAATTGAGTCCATTGTGTAGCATCTATTTTAGTTGATGTTTTGCGACCATGGCCTAAAAGCCATGGTCGCAAATTCGTGGCCAGTGTTGCTTCTGTTGAGTTGTGGGCTTGAGTCCTAGTGCCTCTAGAATCCCGCCGTGTAGAGGAGCTGATGAATATTAAATTTGTAGATAATCAAAGCCATTCAGTTGGAGTGGTGAGGAAGACTTCAATGTTCCAGTTCGAGTGTCGACCCTGGATGACAATTAAATAATGTTCCAGTATTCTCTGCATTGCTTTAAAGCAGGGAGGGGCAGACTTTTCCACGGTACGGGCTACATCTAATTTTTTTCAAGGTGTTGCAGTCCCCCCAATGGTGTTTGTTGGTGTAATGTGCTAAAAGAGGGTCCACATACAGTAGAACCTACATTTTAAGAACCTTTATTTTGCGAATTTTTTATATTTAGCGAATTTTTTCCTGGAACTAAGAAAACTTTACGATTTTCTTCATAAAATTACCTCCAAATAGCGAAACGCATTTTCTATTAAGCGAATCTTTTTTCTTGAGGTTCGATTTTTTTTCTCCGCATTTTTAAAATATTCCTGCATTTTTACATGATGAAATAATAATTATTAGGTCTTTGTGAGATTGGTAACCCTAAAATGTCTTGGAGGTCCACCGGTCGATATTGATCGACTTAATGCCCACCCCGGTTTTAAAGTGTAACGTCAATAAAAAAACACACACAATCAATCTATTTATCAAGTAGTTTATAAACATTTGAAGTGATTTTTCCCCTATTATTTTTCCTTTGGTATGCACCGATTATTTGTGATATTTTCGTGAATTCTTTTTCAATAGTTATTGTCTTCTTTGTGCAACATACAGGAATGCTAAAGTTTTTTTTTAACATGTGCATATGTATTATGTACATGTCTCGTATTTTTCATAATCATTCATGTCTTGAAAGTTAAAAACGGTTGGATATTTTACTTTTATTTTGTGTATTTGTATTGCTATTTGTTTAATTCAATTTGTTCCTAAATGTTGCAATCATTTTCTCCTTTTTTTAATCCTTCTCTCCTTTTTTTCAGTTCTTTAAACTTCATTACCTAATACATCGCATTTAAAAAACACTAAAAGTTTGGAAACATGTTTACAGGGTGAAAAAAAAAACAATATCAATCATCCACAACAAAAATATCCTCGTTTTTCTTGGTTCATAAAATATTTGCTGTTTTATAATAATTAAAAAGCAATTTCGAAAACTCGAACGCTCAGGGCCAAACACAGTAAAAACAAAACTAATTTAATTTTGCTCACTCCCGCGTTTTTGTATGAATTCTAATTTTCTCCTTCATTTTTTCAATTCCTACTAATAGTTGACAATCTCCCTATATATATCTTGTTCAAATTTTCAATCGTTAATAAAATACTTTCAACTCATCCATTCAAATTCAAATAAATATTTTAAACTTGTAGTGGATGACACTTGATGTTAATACAGCTTTTTCAAATATTAATTCATTAATTGATGAATAAATAGTAACAAACAAAAATAATAGTCCAATATCATACATAGAGAGGAAAATCGCGTTCGATGTATCTCTCTAGCGCAATGGATAGCGCGTTGGGCTTCTAATCCAAAGGTAATGAATTCGAATTCTATTTGGGATGGTCTAATTTCTGAGAATGTGATTTATGGATGAATAAAATAATAATCCAACACCTTATGCTAAATTAGCTTTCTATTTTGCCACTTAAGATTGTGATTCTTTCATATGTACATATATATTTATATTAATTGTAATTATTTAGTAAAAAGTAACTAAAATAAAATTTTTCTTTGTAAACCTAAGTAGGAATTGACTTAAAATTTTTTTTAATATTACTTGTGTGTGTGTAACACAAAATTCACATCTCACGAGTTTATAAAAAGAAGTTCTCCCCTTTTACTTTATTCCAAACTTTATTTCACATTTTTATTTAATGCAAAATGTAAAAAGTCCATTAAATTCTTACGGTACTAATTTTGTTCGTTTTCTATAAAATATAATTTGCTCTTTCGTAACGTTAAAAAAAGTATTATATAAGTATCTTTTTATTTTAGCATGACGTTTACATAGTGAGTCTTATAATAAATGATTAACACAAAGAAATTCTTTTAAAACAGTAAAGGAAGAAGGAATGCAACTCTTGGTTGGCCTTTTCTTTACTTAATTCAGGAAATTTGCTAGAGTTGAAAAATTTGATCATCCTACAAAAACTGCTGTAAGTTCTTCTATATTTAAAAATATAAAAAAAATTAAATTTTCAGTAATACAACCTTGTTACACGTGAGTTGAAACGATACCTATAAGAACGTCAGTATTTTTGAAATAGCTCACTGTAATAATGTTTTATTAATTTTATATCTAATTTGAAACAGGGTGGTCCCGAATTCATGGTACAAACTTTAAGGGTAGATACAGGATATTGTGTGTAACAATCATTTTTTGTATAGGAATGTATGGGTGCATGTGACACGCAAACAGGGGAAATAAAAGAAAATAGAAGCGGAGTTATATAGGTTGGTTGCGTTACCGGTGGGGGCAGTGGATGTCTAGCCGCCATTCAATATGATGCAACTCAGGAGGGAAAAGCGACATTCGCATTTGTGCTGACGTCTAAGATGGGAGACTTTGCGTATGCTGAAAATGCAGACATGTATTACATGTACGTACGGGCAAATGGTAGAGCTACGCACGAATGTATCACACCACACCCACAGTTTGGGAAACGCTGGCTTACACCTCATACAATTTCAGCAAGTACAAACTTTGAATACGGCAGAATACTTCTCCGACTGCCAGTGGATGGCACAGAAATAAGCGCAGCAGCTGCGCTTCATAGCTCATGTGCTGAACAGTTATGTACAGTTATTATAAACATTACGCTTGTCAACGATGCTTTCAATAAACACTTCGTTTTTTTCCCGTCTCTTATATTTTGTGTTAGTGCCTCACTCGCCCATACATTCCTATACAATTAATGATTGCTACAATGTCCTGTAACTACTCTTAACGTTTGTACCATGAATTCGAAAAACCACCCTGTATATTTATTATGTAGAGCTACAGCATAAATGTGCCGATCAAAATCAAAATATTAAATGATGCTGAAAAGCAATCACCTAGCATTTATTTCGGGTTATTTAATACATTTAGTTTCAGTTTCATTGTAATTTCTAATGCACTATTGAACAATTGAATATAAAAGATTACAGAAAATGATAAGCAAACCACCAAATAATTCAAAGTTATATTACGCTATTTATGTTCAATGTGTAACAAATGCATCCAGATTTCATTTACAATGCTCAAATATGATAGATATATATATAGCAAAAATAGTCTTCATTTGCAATGCGTAATCCAATTTTCTGATTCCATTTTCATGTAAATCAGAAAATTAGATTCCACGAGTAGTATTGCTAATTAAATGTAACACAGTGTACCATTATTCATTCTCATTCTGTGACAAAGTTATTCAAACTAAATTACTTGCATAAATATTGCATACAAAGCATCGTTTACAGACATGGTTCCTTTCGTTTTCTTCTCCTAGTTTTAGAATATTTGCTTACATTATTAAAAAGGAATTGTGTGCGTTTTTATTGAATAAGTTTGTAAAATATGGAATCTAATTTAGCTTTTCTCCTCTTATGTAACTTCAACAACAAATTATTGAGGAATTGTATTACGACGTCTGTGTTGTAATGTTAAGCAATAAATTGCTGATAATTATATAATTTGTGTAAAGTAAATTAATTGCAAGAATTTTCTTGATTGTGTTTGAGATTTTAATTTTAATTTATTTATGTAACACGGTCGCATATAACTGCTCACTAAAAAATTTCATCATTTTGAAAAATTTACTTATTCTTTCATTAGTCATATATTCCATTATTATTGTGTGGCCATGGTAACATAGCGGTTATGTGACCGGTTAACCTGTTCATTAACCAGTCAAGGCTCAATGTCCTCACGTTGGCGTAATGTAGTAATTGAGAAAGAGGGATGCCTGTTGAGGTCTCGTCCTTGCCACTTGGCCAAGGCTCAAAATTGCGAGGTTCCTCATGGGTGGTTGCTAAAAATGCAAACATTAATATTTATACTGATATTTTTTATCATCCATTCTTTTTTTCAAAAGTCCTAACAATAAATCTGTCTATCTTAATTTAATAAAGAATAAACTCTCTATATACCGCAACTTTTATAATATTTTGTGGGTTAAGGCTCATAATAATAATAACTTTAAATGATATTGCAGATCATTTTTCTGAAGTCACTACTACTAATGGTGTAGAGGTGAGTGTCCCCGCCCCTCACTCTTATGTCATCAATTTCCTTCAAAATTAATTCAGGACTGGGAGAGTTGGTGGTCAAACTCTAATACTGGCTTACGATTAAATCCTTCTTTCCCAAACCCGGTTTAGATATCAATCCCCATTCCAGTTACGCTACAAAATTTTTAACAAACCATGACCCATTTGTTTCTTACTTGCATCGCTTCAAATTAAAAGCTACTCCCAATTGTCTTTGTGGATCTGAGGGGGACGCTGACCATTATGTATTCGGATGTCCCCTCACTAAGGATTTCATTTTAGTCTCTCCATCTCAAAATGCTAAAAAGTCAATCCAATCTATCGTTATAAATCCTTCAATTCACTCTAAATTACAATAAAATCATGTATTAAAATTGCTTCTGCAATTCGGGATCAAATTGCATAGTTGGGATTGGATCAGTGCTCTTATGTGGTCACAGGCGGTTTTTCCCTCCCCCCTCTCCTTTTCTTAATTTTTCTTCTTCTTTTTTTCCTCCCCCTTTCCCAAATAATTCCTGCCTTTTTCTTCTTTTTCAATTCCTACTATTAATTCGCACTCTATATATTTATTTATTTATCTTGGTGGAATTTTCAATCGTTAATAAAATACATTTTAAAACGCTCCATTGAGCTGGAATTTTATATACACGATTATTTTGGATGACAATACAATAATTTAGTTATAATTAATAACAATTAATTGATTAAAATTAATTATTTAAAGAATTACAAATACAGCCACGTTGGCGACTTAGCGACCGTTTTGGCGACTTGTGTCAAAACTTGAAAAGGATTTTTCTCACGTTTTAAAGCATTCAGTTGAACTGAAGTTTTATACGCGCATGATATTGTTTTGGATGACAGTACGGTACTTTAATGATAATTAATAAAAATTAATTTCCACTTAATGTTGTGATTCTGTCCTATGTATATACATATTTATATTAATTTGTAACTATTTAATAAAAAGTAGCTAAAATAAAATCTTTCTTTGATCTAAGGAATTGACTTAAATTTTTTTTATATTACTTGTTTATATGGTGCATTTATGTTTTATATTTATATTACTTTTGATGTACTTGCAAAAATGTTGGAATAATGCATATTATTTTCCTCTCTTACCTTTTATGTTCCTTATTATCCTTTTCAGCTTTACATGTGTGTACCTTGCAATAACATATGAATTTCGTTTAATTTACCTTTAATTTGTAACATGTAAATTTAATGCGTGCTACTGCATAAAATGTATACTATGATTTTGCTCACTAAAGATTGAACGCGGGGTTGGTAGTTTCCCGTGGGATCATTTTGTAGCTCTCTACCTCTTTGGGGTGAGCTCGGTTCCCTCGGGCATTCCGCCAATAACTCTCGTGTTGCCTTATAATTCGACCTTAATGTAACACTCACTCCATTATTATTCTTTCATAGTTAATCAGTTATTATCGCTTCCTAATTTTAATAATAATTAGTATGAATATTCACAATAACATTTTAAAAACCCAATTCAAGCAAAAAAATTTGCCCATGATATTGAAGAAAAATATGCCAACGAATCGTTTTGATTATACTTCACACGAAAATATTTTTCGAATGCTTCCAATTCTGATTTTTTTCTCTTATATCATATTTAAAATTAGTAAAATGAAGGGTAACATACTTGTGTGTGTGTGTCTGAAAAAAGCATTTACACTTTCATCAAATTTATTTATCCGTTCTTAATGTGAAATTAGTAACATAAGTTACCTACCAAAGACAAATTTAATTTTTAAAAAGCCAAGAAAAAACTTTCGAAACATTTTTGATTTATTTTTATTTGATCAGTACCTTAAAAAAACAGTACATTTTCATTTTTTCAATTTTTACTATTTGTTCATTCTCTCCTATATATATATACAGTATATATATATATATATATATATATATATATATATATATATATACATATATATATATATATACATACATATATATATATACATACATATATATATATATATATATATACATACATATATATATACATATATATACATACATATACATATACATACATATATATATACATATATATATATACATATATGTACATACATATATATATACATATATATACATATATATATATATACATATATGTACATATATATATATACATACATATATATACATATATATATATATATATATACATACATATATATACATACATATATATACATATATATATATACACATATATATATATACATATATATATATATATACATATATATACATATATAATACATATATATATACATATATATATACA